ATTACTGTCCAAATCATAATATTTAAAGTAGACTGAATTTCTGCTAGAATGATTAAATCTAAATTGTTCGGGGAAAAGCACTAAATTGTAGAACAACTTGGTTATAAAAATTTTTAACAGTTTGACTTATTTGAAACCTTACACAGTAATTCATAGTGTTATGGATTCAAACAGTGATATAGTGAATTTTACTCGGAACGCATCAGCCTATAATCTTCTGATGATATGTACGTGGTGAAAAAATCAGTAAAAAGAGCCATAACTGTCGCTGAAAACAGTAAATTACTGAAAGATTTTCCCTAACTTTTATGTCAATGATCTATACTCATGAAGGTATAGTATAATATAGCATTTCACTTACAGTTCGTTAGAACTAAAAAGTATTTTTATTTTTATTTACAGCAAAATATCTGTTACGTGCAGACGATTCGACGAGACCTGTAATTCTGTTAGGATATTCAAGCCTTCCAAGTATGATGTCAGGCAACAATGTCATGATTCATCATTAGGGTTTATAAACTCAGTCAGTTGGTTACAACACTGAACTTCGTACATGAGTACATAAATTCAGGTTGCTATAACCCATTAGCACACCAACTGTCAGTTCAAATTCAAGAGTGCTAGCGATAGCAGAAGATATGGTTCGAAAAGTATAATTCAGTGAGATAAATTTAGAAAGAGAAAGACGGTGGTGATGAGGAATTCAGGAGGTTAGAATTTTAAAGCACATGAAGAATGAATGCACCTGAGCCATTCCAAACGATTCTGAGCCATGTCGTTCAAGGTCTCTAACCGTCGACTGCTGTCATCTCGCGCACCCCAACCAGGTAGTCTACATCTACCAACATGACTCATTCCACTTGTCAATGACTTCATGGATTTGTGCCATGTTTTGTTCTGACCACCCCTAGATGTCTTCCAACCTACTCCTACACCACACAACATAGCTCATCGAGGCAGTCGGTGGTTGGGCATGAGCAACACAGGTCTCAACTACTTCAACTGATGGAGTTTCGACACTATATCTACTGACCTGCCATCCTTACCCATTACTCGTTGCCTATCTACAGCATTGCTCACTCGGTTAACCCACGATATACGAGCAATGCTTCTGAGACACCTATGATCGAAGAAGAGCAATCTATGAATGTCCTCTACTCTCACAGGCCATGTTTCACAGCCTCTTGATGGGGGGGAGAGAACTGCTGCACAGTACACTCGTCCTTTGGTCAGTGAACGGATATCTCGCCTACGCCATAAGTGATGCAGGTTGGCAAAAGTCAATCGAGTCTTCTGTATCCGTGCTGAGATTTCGTCATTCACCAAGCCATCAGCACTGATGGGACTCCCCCACGCTCAAATGCTTCACTCCCTATCACTATTTCAGGTAGGCAACCCAATCTTGAAGCAGCAATCTGCATTTCAAGGGGAAAACCGCGTCTCAAAAATGCTTGCATTGTTGCTTAGAGTAGTCAGAAGACTCTGGATTTTTTCTGCTTCTTCAGCAAACAGGACTACGTCATCAGCATATTCTAAGTCACCAAGCTATTTTCCTGGTAGAAGGTCCGCTCCTCAAAATTCAGATGAAGATAATGTTATATCTAGAAACATGTCTATGATAAAACTAAACATGAATAGGGAAAGTGGACATATATGATGGACACCGCCTGAACTAAAGAATTCCGATGACGGTTCACCATGAGCTCTTACTCGACCTGTAGTGTTCTAGTAGAGAGCCTGTACTACTACTGTACTACTTTGGTGCATTTTTTAGTGACAGACACTGCCACAGAACCTCACGATCAACAGGGTCAAATGCCGCCTTTAGTTCCAGAAAGACAATTATTGTCGAACACCTTTATGTGTGTCTGTGTTCCAAGACCTGTCGTAGTGTAAAAATAAGGTCTATACAGCCACGTCCGGGTCGAAAAGCAGCCTGGTTTTCTCTAGGTTTGCTCTTCAAAAACTCTATTTAGGCGTCTATGTATAATCGAGGCTAACAAATTAGAAACTATATTCGTTAGACTTATTTCCCTGTGATTGTCACAAGAAGAATTTTGTGCTTTCTTGTTGATTGGAACAATAAGCGATTGAGACCATTTGGATGGTGTTGAGTCCAGTTCCCAGGTTCTACCTAAGATTTCAGTCAATCTAGCTGCTAAAATTGGATCACCATCCTTGCAAATCTCAGGAGTCAATCTACCGGGTCCTGTTGCTCTCTTGCTTTAGATTTCCGATTTTAAATGAATTTCTACAGTGGCCGTTCCAATGGGTTCCAATAGGGGCACTCCTGTACGATTCTCCCAGTCCCGGGTCCCAACCAAATCAAAAAGGACAAAAATTCTAGGAGAAAACGTCTTATTTAAATAAAAACATGGAAATACAAAGCATTACCTGGAAATAGTGCCTCTTCCAGGATACAATTACTCCGAAGAGTATCAGAAGCAGTGATAGATAAGTGACGCTAAGTCCAGCGGCCACTGCGTCAATCCAAATATGGCTGTAGCCATATTAAAGATCAAATTTAAACAACATATATACAGATCAGAAGCAAACACAAAAACTTCAATATAAGTACAAAATATAGAAAGAATAACAATATACAATGATAAAATCTCAAATTGGAATCAAATAAAATACCAAAAATGTCAACAGAAAAAGTCGGTCATGTCATAGCAAAAATATGTAAACATGGAGGGATTTTCCAAAACACAAAACATTCAAAAAGATTCTACACCGATAGCTTTTTCTACTTCATAAAGATTCAAAGGACTCACGTCGACATGCCATCCTTGATGAGTCTGAGTAGTAGTCTTCTGTTGCCTCCCCCGTTTTTGCAAGAAACAGGCGGTTATATGAGCTTGGCTGCAGCAGACGGTCGCCATTATCTGATGTTTGAGACACGACACCATAAGATCCACCTAGGTGTCTTACTTTTTGCTCTGTCTACCTACATGAGCAGTGAATTCATCAGCCATTATTATTATATCAGGACGCCCAACGTTTTGGAGGAGGTCCGAATTCTTTCCGTAAAACTCATCTTTCACCTCGTCTGAACTGTAGTCAGTCAGCCAGCATCGCTGCAGATGTTGGTTGTCCGAGGGAAATACATTACCGCTGTCACACTCTCTACAGTCAGTAGTAAGACTTCGTCGTCAGACCTTGAGTTGCTGTTTTTAGTCTCATCGTTCTCCTGTTGACCTGCCTGGCATGGTAGAACCTACAGGAACTTATGTTTCAGCCAATATAACTCGGTTGGGTTATCACGACAGGCAAGCTTGACCACCAAATCAAGGAAGCAGCTAAGGCTAGATTTCCTAAACATGATTTTTGTCCATACCTATGTTTGTCAATTATCTTCGGTAATGGAAATTCAGTCGAAGTTGCAGAAAAGTATAAATGTATTTTTGAGAAAAATAAATGTAACAAAACAATACAATTTGAGCAAACATCAGATGTTTGTTTTTTTGGGCTTTTTATTACTGTCGTTAGAACAGTTAAGATTCCTATTCAGAACATAGCAAATAATGATACTGTTGTTACCAGCCCTTCACTACATTATTATATATATATTTAAATGTACATATATCGATGTAGAAAGGCAATAAGAGTGTTATATTCGTTATCCTTATGCTGAGTGATCTGGGTTAAATAAATTAATTGGGTATTATAACACAAATGCTTCTGAACATATATTCAAGCGACTGAATAAACTACTATATACAGTATAAAAAATAACCAAAGTGTCATAGGGATTGCTTAGCACAAACTTACTGAAGTAATTGCAGTATTTGAATAACATCAAACGTTTATTATATGTTCAATCTTTTACGAGTTCACCCAACTTAGTGAACGCAACGATGACCAATAATTCAATGACATGATAGGCTTTTCTAATTCAATTGTCTTAGGTCCCACTAACTAGAGGAAAAATTCTTGATAAGACGATAATAAATGCTGATATTTGCTGCACATTATACAGACTTACATTTACTTTATATGATCATTTAATATTTGTGGTTACTCTTACAGAGTTATCGATGCTTATTCGCTCATAACAGGGAATTTCGTGAAATGAAAGCACTTTTTATTCCAACCGTAATCCATTGGCAGATTTAGCATTTATGCGGAAATTCGTAATTGTCAAGGTTGAATATATCCAGAGGTCACTCTGTGACTGTTCGTTGATTGGTTTACTAAGTTTCCTTATGATTATACTGTAAGTATCACTTTTAATGCATCTCCTAATAAGGCTTCTCCGTGAATACCTATTCATTCGTTATGGTGGCTAGACGAACACCGTCTGAACATAACTAAATTTTTAAACCTTACAAAACAACAAGAAGGCCACGCGAGATCTGTCGGTTTTTATTAACTCATAGAAAGTCTGTTAGATATATTGGATATCTGATCGAACAACTAGCCTACGTGTTACAGCAATTCTATCAATTACGTTGTTCTTTTAGACTATGTACATATATCAATCACTAAATTTTATAGCGCCACTATCTTCCCGGTTGGTGATGCAGTCTCAGTCATTACGACTGGACAGATGCATATCTCTACTTTGCACATACTGTTCAATAATCTGGCCAACTATTGTAGGTTGAATACAACTTACCTTTTCTAATGAACTTAGTAGTTGAGAACTAAATGCTAGCTTTTTCTTATTAAAGTTCTCTTACGTTGAAACAGCAGCATACATCATTAACTTCAATTATCATTTTACCTTGTTATAGTAGAAGGATAATGGTAATGTTCAAGCTAAAATATACTGGTCATTTAGATTGTCGTAATCATTCATAGCTATTGGTTCAGTCCTTTTATTCTTCCTCCTTAATTTCCAAGCCAATAATTATTAAGTCAAATAACTTTTGATTCCTTGTCTTGTCATTTTCTCATGTTTTACATTCTATGTGTATAGGTTTCAAGACGCCTTGTACCTCGCATAAATCCCAGCCTCGTTTTAGTTGGTTGTCGTATGGTGTTTAATATTACCTATGGTTGTCGACCGAACATCGGAATTCGGTAATGCATCGACTGGTAAAGAACTAAAAATTCCAACTCAAAAGGTACATCACCCTTTTTTCTTATCGAATAAGACAATCTAAATATTTGCTACAAGACAACTAGCCAGTTTTATAACCGTGGGAATCAGATTTTCGTAATATATACGAGTCTAAATATCTTAGTAAGGTGCATATGACAGCTTAAACACCATTATCTGTTTGATTAGCCTACTGAAATATTTATTCTCAAGCAGTCTTTTTAGATTAGCATCTGCGCCGTAGGTATACATGATTGTTACATAGAAAACGTACACCATATATTGCACAAATTCTAACGAACTATACAAAAAGCTTCCAACAGTAGCACTCTTAGGATGCCCTGTCGAGCAGTATCGCGTTCATAAAGCTTCTGGGATCTAGTTCGAATTATGAAGAGAAACGGTAGGCTTCTCAAACGAGCAATAATCCAAAAATCCTCTATAGAAGTGCACCAATCCAAGTAACTACAACTCTAGGTCAGAGAAGAGCCATCTAGAAGACTCATGATAAAATCAGTATCTGGCATGCCTCTCCAACACTATTCCATGCCAACTGTTACAAGATGTTCTGATCAACTTCCATGACATCAGGGTTTCTGATAAAAATCTCATAGTTGCGTACTATATTTTACAAGTTTTTGCAAAAGCTGTTCTTGAATATTGCCTTCAGGTCAAAGAATATGAGCTTTGTAAAACCGTTATTTAGTTTATCAGGGTTTTATCATTCTCCGCCAATTTCCATTCCTCGGTTTTCGACTTTTTCATGAAGTCATTAACAGCTTGACCGAATCGTATTAGTATGTTCAAACTACCTGGTTGCAGTTGGCGCAATCACTATAACAAATGGCTAAACACTTCGTGACATTGCTCAGAATCGGTCATAATAGCGCAGATATATTTACTCTTTTTCTTTTAAATCCTGTTTCAAAATTATCCTGTACTTTTTTATTCCATGAGTTCTGTTTCTGCTGAAATCAAATCGTTTATGCTTAATCATTCCAACTACTGATACTGTTAATACGTCTAATACCCTGGCATTTGTCTTGCTAGCTTCATTACCAAAATGAAATGGATGTCCAGTGCTTCTAGGTTTTGATCGTTGGTCTAGCTTAGATCACTTTGTGTTTTCAACTATGGAAATAACACGATCTTGGTAAAACCTCTATACTAATGACAGGTATGTGCTCACTAGTGAATAGCTTCAGTATGTACGTTCTGGAGTGTTAGTGAGAAGTCACCAGTGGAGTTTAGTCGGTGCTGGGTGTGAGATGTTTATTCACCACAGGCATTAGATGAAGGGTTCAAACCATAGATCTCATCTATATTTTGTTATTTATATTTCTGAAATGATAATTCACAAGCCTTTATGACTTAAGTGTGTTCTAACATACACGAATGTTAAATTTACCCACTGGCATGCCTTATAAAAATAGTATACATTGTCTTTCTTTTTATCTGTTTTCAGGTCCTTGTTGAAGATATTTTACAAGAAACAGTATCTATTACTATCTCAGAATCTCCCACAGATTGTACAGATGCGTAAGTTTCCCCAGTCAAAAAGATTAAGTATTATTTCTCTCTCTGTTCATATTGTGTTTTCTCCATTTTACCTTATTCTATACTTTTGTTAAGATTTTCTTAATACATCTCAGACAGATTTCGTTTTGGTTATTTTATTCTTTATTGAAACTAGTTATTAAGTAATACCAATTGAACTCTACTGTGGTTCTAGCCTCATTTTTTTGTGTGTGATGGTTGTTATACCTAGTTTTTCAAACTGAAATAGCTTAGTATTCGAATTCGCAATCCATCTCTTAAAAGCTGACTACTGAATAGTAAATTCTGTATCTCTTTAGAAAAACAGTTCGCTGATTGACGTTTCTTGTTATTAAAGCATGTTAGCACCCACACAGTTGAACGTAACATTCGCTAATTAAAAAGCTTTTCCTTAAAACTACTTCTTTTAGTCACAAATCTCATTCTTAGTTCTATTAACAAATAACACCACATGGTTTGTTGCACGATTGGCTAGTTTAGGAATGAATCGAATAGGAAGCTGTAGACAACCAAAGCACAACATGAAATCAATCTGTGAAATTCACTAACTGTAGATTTGAGGCATTTAGAAGGAGAGTATATAGACTTTCTGCTTGTACAATTTAACAAAGCACATGTCTTTAACTTCCCTATATTGTTTTAACCACGAGACTAATGATACTTAAAACAAAAGAATACTATGACTTTCATGATGCAAATATAAAGGTGAAACTAACTCAGTTAAAAATTTATTTCACCTTCTAAAACATGTCAGTCTTTTCAACCAATTGATGTATCTATATTATCGATTTTATGCACAGTTGATGATTAGTCCGTCATGAAGCTACGAAAATCTAAAAAAAAAATTCTGTGGAGGCAACTTTTAAGTTTCGTTATCTACGCATTCTTTAGTGACTTGAATAAATCAATTAACTTGTTGATTAGTTGTGTCTAAACTGTTAAAGAAGATTTATACGAATATATTAGTCAATATTTGACTGAATAGTTTGATAGAAATTAGGCGCCAAATATATATCAAAGATATGATTTGTGAAAATTATATTTGAAATAATCTCAGCGATTGATATTGAAATAATTTTTACATTTCGTCCAGCAAACCTGTTTGGACTTTTTAAGAGTAATAATTAAAATGAAAATTACTAAAGTATTTGTTTGATAATTATTTAAAGTTTCATCACTAATATTAAAAACAACTTGAAGCTTGTTAACCCGTTTTATGACTCAACTTTGTTATCTTGGAGCTATCAAGTCAGCAATGCTATTATTAGGAAACGGATACTAGGTAAGGATTGCAGACCAATAGGTGAAGTGGTGAAACTTCATCAGTTGGAGTGGTTGGGACATATGTTACGAATGCCCACCAACCGACTGCCTCGACGAGCTACGTTTTGTGGTGTAGGAGGGGGTTGGAAGAAAGCTAGGAGTAACCAAATCAAAATATGGCACAAATGAAATCAGTGACAACTGAATTAAGTCATGTTGGTAAATATAGACTACCTGGTTGGGGTCCGCGAGATAATAGTAATCGATGGTTAGAGACCTTGAATGACATGGCTCAAAATCGTTTGCAATCGCGCAGGTGCATTCATTCTTTGTGTTCTCTCAAATTCTGATCTTCTAAATTCCTCATGACTGTTTTTTCTCTTTTTAAGTTCATTTCACTAGATTCTACTTCTCGAACGATATCTTCGATAGCTAATCTGTTTGATTACCGTTCATAACTTACTACCTCTACTCCTATGGGATGTGAATTAACAACTGCGTCTCTATGCTAATGTGGTATTGCAACTTGAACTGATATACGTACGTACGTACGTACGAAGTTCTACGTTATAACTAACTGACTGACTGACTGGCTGATAACTCAACTCAAAATATAAAGGTTTTATAGCTTGATTTGAAAAAAAAAATAATCATGATTTCAAAATTTCAATAGTTGTTTTACTAGTGTTAAGCAACTTAATTTTTTATACGGTAATGAATACTCTTATTGATTATATTACAATTTTATTATCATTTATATTTCTTGATTTATTTTCTACATACAACAGTTCTACAACTGGTGAAGAATTAACTTCATCAATCAATCAGAATAGATCATCAACACTTCAAACATTTACAAGATGTAAAAGTCCAACTACAAATAACAGCAACAATAACAATAATAATAATAATAACAACAATGACAGCAATGACATCAATAATAATAATAATAGTACTAATAAAAATTCATTAAGTAGTTCATCGAATACAACATCTATTGAATATTCACAAACATCAAGTCCAGGTGATTCAGGTCGTCGACGTTTAATACCAGATTTTAATATTGATGATTTATTAGTTATATCTGAATTAGGTCGTGGAAATGGTGGAGTTGTTACAAAATTACAACATAAATCATTTGGTACATTATTAATTAGAAAAACATTTGAATTAGATGTAAAAACTACAACAAGAGCACAAATTGTTCGAGATTTACAAGTAAAAAAATGTTAAAATTTTTAGTAATTTCTTTTAAATTTCATTTTTTTATTTATCGTGTTTTTTTAATGATGCTGCTAGATATCTATGTTAAATGATTGTTATGTTCGTCACTAGGTACGCTTGATGCTATTATTACGAGTTCACCTTAGTCGATAAGCGCGAACCAGACAATTACCAGCGTTCAGGTAGGCTACCTATCCCAAACTGCAAAACAGAAGTCTTGATAAGCGTAGAAAGTATATTCTACAACACCCAGCAAGCACATAACTCTCGTTTATTTATACATCATAGAAACATCTTTGGGACAGTCACAAAAATAGCACACTAAAACATACAGCAGCCAATCACAGCCAAGTATTTTGCTGGTAGGAAATGAAGTCTCAAGGTCAACTGACCAGCCCATGGTGGCGAACGTGAAATCCAAAATAAGGCATTTATCAATCGAGTTCTAGGGATCTAACATCCCCAACAATGATATCGTTGTTGAAGTTCATCTATCTTTTCTTCATCATTTAATCCTGATACTAAGTATTGATAGTGAAAGGAGAGGATGATACAGACGCTATTGAGAATGGTATTACTCATCAAGTACAGTGTTGTATATTCTGCTTTAAGTGATGGCTATGAATACTATCCAGATAGTCATATTGATGAAGCAGAGAATGGTCAAACACATGATATAATATCAGTTTATTGAGTCACTGAAATAATCTTATTTGTATCATATAAACAATCTTGGGATAATATATATTAACTTTAATAGATTTAACTGTTACTTTACATCGTTATACATTTTGTTGAAACTAATAATAATAATAATAACTCATTGACTTCTTGAACAAAGTATATTGGATGCTAGCCCAGTGGTTCAGAGGTTAGGCGTTCGCTCACGCAAGACCGAAGGTCCTCAGTTCGAATCCTCCTTTTCCTGTTAAAACCAAATGAAGTAGATTTTAACTACTTCTAGGTTGATGCCGGTGTTTATCACTAAGTGATTTCAACAATTAGTTCGTCACTTCTTTCAATCAGAGTTATGGAGATCAGTGTTTTTACACATTGAAGTCATTAATCAATCATTGTTAGACCACAATTAGAAATCTGGAAGCACTGGGCGGCCATTTCGTCCTGGGTTCGAATCCTGTGAGTAGCAGGAGTTGTGGGTGTTCACTGCTGATGAGTCTCATACTAGGTAGGACGAAACGGCCATCTTTCAGTGCTTCCCGGTTTCTAATGACGGTCAAACAATGATTGATGATGATGATTTCTATGTGTAAAAAGTATGTTTCAATCAAAATTACATGAATTTTGTTTTGTAGAATTATGTAAGTATAAAATTTAATTCTCAACTATTCACAAATGCAATTTCTAAATTTAGAATGCTTTAATAAAACTCTCTCTCTATATATATATATACAACTTGTACTATTGTATGGAGTTATTTAATAATTGAATTTTATTCTTTGATCAAATAATCTAATAGCCGAAATTGTTCTCTTTGATGATAATGATGATATTTTTGGTTTTGATCATGTTTATCTGTATTTGTTTCCAGTGAATATATGTATATATAGCTATTTTGATTTTGATTTTAAATAGGTCCTTTGGGAATGTATATCACCACATATCATTGAATTTCATGGTGCAATACATTCTGAATGTTTAATCAGTATTTACATGGAATACATGGATGTTGGTGGAATGGATTTACTGTTGAAAATGGTTGGACGTTTTCCTGAACCAATTATTATACATATTGCTGATTCTGTTGTATCAGGACTACTTTATCTATGGCAAGAATTGCATATGTTTCATCGGTGAGTATCATACAAAAACAGAAAGAAAAAAATAATAGGTCAATGTAATCATAACAACAACACATTTGTTTTTGACTTGTTTTGAAAAAGTTACACATAAATAATTCTTTGGCATTATTTTTTTTAGAAGCTAAAAACAACATGATATTCATTGGTCAGCTATTTTTAGTAATAACATTTCGGCGTTAAGCTTAGGATTTGATTAGATGTAAAAGCAAATATTTTGAATAAACATGTAGTTGCATTAGTTGATGTAAAGTTGAAGTCTTTCATTCAGAACCAAATACGTATTGAACAGAAGAACTCTGAAAACTTCGTCGGACTTCGTGATTCGTATTTTTTTTTAATCTATTACCAGGCTTCCTTGACCAAGTTAGATAGGGTGTAATGAAGTGTCTAACGAATAGTCAAACCGCTAAAATCTATTGATACAACGCTACATTGTCTCTAATTATAATCTTTTTTATTTTAAATAAAAATGGAGAATCACACAAAGTATTTTAAAGTAGATAATTTTAGTTTTGGACAGTAAATATATTTTCTTAACGCCATTTGTATCTATCGGTAGCGATGGTTTTAAACATTACTGGATCCTGAAGCTTGATCATTTGTGAAAACTACACATCCAAAGTTACTAATAGCGGTATTATTTTCCAGTCAGATACTTGCCAGAATTAATCACCTTATTAGAAACAACTACTTAGAAAATTTATTCATTAAACCGTGCAATTGATCATAACGTTTTCATGAAGATTAGGGGAAAAGATTACACGTTAGTTTAAGAGATTTCCATTATAAAAAACCAAACATTTTCTGTTTATATTTTTCAAAACCTCTGTTATAACTGAGCCTTTGATTCGGACTACTGATCACAGAGTTTACCCATATGCTCCTATTGTTGCCTAAAATGTTGGTTAAATGAATATACTACTAGTGCTACGAAATCAGTAGCTCGTGAAAATTAATAAAATTATTGTCTCAAGTTTTGTTGTATAGCAGTCGTTGTATCATCGCTGCTCATATCGGTCAACGTAAAGAACCGTCTCGATTTGTGCTACATGTATCTGGAAGCCCCAGTGCTACGTTACATGACCTAGATTATGTAGTTCTAGCGTTGAGTCTTAGGACAGAACTAGCTCTCTTAGACTGGAACCCAGTCTAGCCACTTATGTGCTGTCCGTCTAAACGAGACAGTAAGAACTCAGAAAGATAGGGATAATCGCCGTTGCCTTTTCGTTGTCTCTGCCTACACCCCCACTGACTAAGGATTGGATGAAGCAAAATATGAGTTTTTACAGAACGCTTTCGGACCTCCCCCAAAAAGTTAGGCACTCTGATATTAGTAATAATGGCTGGTGACTTCAATGCTCAAGTAGGTAGATTAAGTGAAAAGGAAAGACACCTGGGTGGATCTTATGGTTTCGCAGCTAATAGAACAGATAATGGCGATTGTCTGGTGTAACTGTGTTCAGATAACGGCCTATTCCTAGCAAATACTAACTTTAAGCATAAGGAAAAACATGTCTTGACCTGACGACCACCAAAGCCGTCCCAACGCTGGACCCAACTAGATCTCATTGCCATCAGCAACCGATGAAAAAGCTCAATAGAATTCTCTCGTTCATTTTGGAGCACGTGCTTAGATTCAGACCATGCTCTAGTGTGAGCGCGTATTTGTTTGTGCCTCACTGGACGTACGAAATACACAGCAAGGAAACTCCTTAGAGTTCTACTTAACGATAGCAAAGGCAACTAGAAGAATAGTTAGGTAGCCATGTAATTGACGCTCACACTGAGGCAGCTTCGAATGACATCCAGAAAGCTTTGCAAACAGTGGTGATATCTACTAGTGAGGTAAACCATAAAGTTAGGTAGAAGCAGTGAATTTCAGTAGCATCTACCGAAATGACAGATGCTCGGAAAATCATCCCATCTGGCTTTGAAAATGATAAGGAGCAGAATCAGCTTAAGCACAGGCTGATACGAAGCTCATAATGATTGCGAACAATGATGGGTATCGAAAGCAAGAGATCGAAAAGGTAGCGATGATAGGTAACAGTAGACAACTATTCAGACATATCAAGGGAACTGGTATTAGGAATCTGACTGATTATCTCCAGAAAGGATGGGAATATTATTCATTCTCAATCCATTAGATTAGATCGATGGGCAGAACACTTTAGGGATCAGTTTAACTGGCCTTCAGCCACAATTCTATTACCCACGATTTCCAGTCAACCTGATTGGCAAGTTGATATGAGTCCTCCAACTCTGAATGAAGTCGAAAAGGCTATAAGAAATTTAACGTGAGGGAGAGCAACATGCCCTGATAGAATAATTTTTGAAATTTTTAAGGATGGCGGTTCACTATCTTCACAACACACTTTAATGTTACACGCATATTTAAATGATTAGAACTTCTTTAAAGTGTAGTGTTAACCTTATTTTCTCAATAATTTATAACTTTTTATGGACAAATACTGGAAAGTGAAGAATTATATTTTAAAGACTGTGTATAATGGTCAGATAGAAGTATTCAAAAACAAAAATAAAATGATATAACATTAGAAAAGCTAAACTATTTACTTCAGTTGATACTGATAAACTAATTATCTTGAAACGATCAGAATTAGCCTCAGAGTATTTGAATGACTTCCTTGACCGGTGAACTGCTCATGTTCATTTAGAGTATTCTTAAATAGGAATGCCATTTAGCTACACATATCTCCACCGTGCAGTATACTTTGTAGTGAATTGTTCTGTCATTCTTTGATTGATTAGTGGCGTAAAATATTTCGAATTTTCAGTGTTCAGCTTATTTATAAGTTACAAAAGTTACATCAACATTTCTCACAATTGAATAGTTTTTTTTCAATTTTCCAGCTGTAGCGTCGGCATATTTTAGTAATGTTTTCACGATTCGCTGTGTTTCTAAGTGAATTGTTAAAAAGATTTATTAAAAATCGTTATTAGTTAAACCTCATATGTAGCGCTAAATAGCACTTAGTCAGCAGTCAGTAGTTTTTCGTTTCTAACTTTAGGTAGTTTGTGATATCACACAACTATCTTTCAATGCCACTAGTGTCAAATTATTGAACTCTGACTCAGTGGTATAGAGATTAATCTTTCTCCAAGAGACCTAAAGGTCCTGAGTTCGATTTCCGGTGAGATTGTGGGTGTGTGCTCTCGGGGAGTCCTACACTAAAAGGAAATAACCATCTAGTACAGTTAGTGATTTAGTTACAACGTAGAACTTCGTACATACATCAGTTCGTGAATTTTAGGGTTCGATGATATTATTTAACAAGTAGAATCTAGTGAAAAGGTGATGAGGAATTCAGAAGGTTAAGACTTGCGAGAACACAGAATGAATGCACCTGCGCCATTGCAAACGGTTTTGAGCCATGTCATTCAAGGTCTCTAACCATCGACAACTATCATTTCGCTGACCCTAACCAGGTAGTCGACATCTACCAACATGACTTAGTCCAATAATCAGTGACTTCATGGATTTCTGCCATGTTTTGGCTTGGCCGCCCCTAACTTTCTTTCAACCTGTTTCTACATCGCGAAACATAGCTCGACGGGGCAGTCGGTGGTTAGGCATGTGAAACACATGTCCTAACCACTTCAACTGATGAAGTCTAACTATCTCATCTATTGATCTAGTACTTTCTAGTTTTCATTGGTTTTCTGTCTACGGTTCAGTTCATGTTGTTTACCATAAAATCTAACAAACTCACCCAAAACCTTACATCAACTAATTGTTTACACTGTTTTTTAAAATTTATTTTTCTTTTTTAGTAATTTAAAACCTTCCAATATACTCATTAATCGTGCTGGTATTATTAAACTGTGCGATTTCGTTGTCAGTTTACAATTAAGTGAATATGTAGCTTCTGGATTTTTAGGATTCTCTACTTATTTAGCTCCTGAACGTTTAGCAGGTAAATTAAAAATTCATTATGTGTACAATTCATCACTTAGATTTTTTCAAAAATTTAATTTGAATATTTTGTTAGTATTTCTTCTACTTTTTACCTAATAATCAAAGAATCTTTCATAATAATTTTTTTTTTACCTGTGAAGTTGACTTTTTATTTTAATATTGCGTGGAATTACTCACTTGATGTTGATCAAATTAGAAAATTAATTTCATTTCTTAGAATATTTGTAAGATATAAATGGTTCTTTTGAAAGCAATAATAATTGGCTTGACTTAAAACTTACATTCAAGGTTATAAAATTAACAACAACACCAGCAGTCAGTTGTTTTACATAGTGAGATTGCAGCGATAACTTGTAACATCAACTTCGATACCGTCTAGTACTGCTCCATTTGTTCAACTCTAGTCCCTTCTACACCAATTAATAAAGCTTATCAATAAGAGATATATTCAGGGAGACTGAATAAGAGTAAATTTACATCTGCTCTCATTTAATAATATATCGATTTATTTCAGCGATGATCAACTGAGTAGTCATCATTTGAATACAAATTAACTGTGACATAATTAATTAATTAATACGTCGTTTGAGATGAATCAATACACAATCGGAAATACACTGAAAATTAATGCACAGAATTTACTTCAAATCAATATATTGAATTTCAAAATGAAATTCTTCTTAAATAAGCATTATGTTTAAGGGTTAATTGTTCGAATTAAGTTTCAATAAAACCAAACGCAAAAATGACCGAACGAATCAAAAAATCAACTAATAAGGGAGCACTTAGTTTATGAACAACGAAGGATGGAAAATAAATTATACAACGAAAACTAGTTACTGATGAGTACGGTTGTTAATACTCAACAACTCTTACAGTACATTGTTGTGCTTTTCATATTTTTTAGTATTGTAATTATTCTTCTTTTATGTATTTTGTACTTTTTCTGAATAATATCTGTCTATTGAATTTTTATATTGATTACACTGGTTTAAGTGATCAGTTTCTATTTACTGTGATTTCTATAGGTTGTGAGTATTTTTAACTGCATGTATGTATGTGTGAGTTCAAGGTTTAATTTTGTTGAAAACATGATTTTCGAAGTTGAAATTAGCAAATTAATTGAAAAAACTATCTTTGCGATTAAATCGATATCAATTAAATCTCAGACAATTCATGTTAAAAATTTGTTCTTTGTTTTTCCTTTGAAAAATCTTGTCTCATAGTCTTTTTTTTTTGAAGAATTGACTCATTTTATTGATTTTTGTCACTAGTGATGAAAACAATTTGGCTCCGTTTTGATTACTTACAGTTGTTTTCTTATTATATTATCGTAATTGGTTATATATTAAATGATTGAATGTCAGTCAGTTGATGAGATTCCAAGTTGTCAGTCAGTCAGCTAAGACGTAGAACTTTGTACATACGTACATCAGTTCAACTTGCCATATCACATTAACTCAGAGAGATCGAATTGTTGATTCACATCTATTAGTTGAGGTAGTAGACGTGTGGTGCGCGCTACTTATAAGTAGTATATGACGCGAGTGAAAACGTAATGTCTGGCAGCAGAAGATGGGGGGAAGATCAAAAGAAAGGAAGAAGAGTGGGAACACAATGGAATTTGTATGAAATGCATGAATAGTGAGTGAAATGTCAGGCAATGGATTGAAGATTTGCAAATTAACCGTTTACGATATGGTTTTCCTATTTTACTGAGTAACTCTGTAATTTGCGATAAATACAATTCGGTTGAACTCACCTGTGTTCTCCTTCACTACAGACGGTTTAGCAGTAATGAAGAAGATTAGGGTTCGAAGATATTGTATGAAAAGTGTAATCCATTGAAATAAATTTAAAAATCGATAAGAAAGGGTTGTGAGCTTATGTCGTTGTGAGAAAAAGTCAAAGAATGGATGCACTTGTGCTATTTCAGGCCAATTGAATGGATTTCGCTGGTGTTTTTATTGTGATCTGAACATTTATCACTGTAAATATGAACTTTCTGGTGTGTTATTTTTTCTCCATAAGAGATTCATTTCACTGTAATAAAATCGTTCACAATTAATGTTATTTACAATAAAAATTTTATCGATTCGGCAACTCTAACTATTGAAAAGCACATTATAAGTGCTTTTTTAAAAATTCAATTTACTTGCTTATTTTTCTCTTTTCGTCAAAGGATCAAAATACAAATGATTGTGTTTTTTGATTTTATTTATTGTATATGTATTATTATTATTATTATTATTATTATTATTATTATTATAGTACATTGCTTGTATGCACACAAAAATTACTAATAACAAGTTCAATTTGTTTATCTAAAATGAATTGACATTAAATGATGTAAACAATTTTAGCTTCTGGTTAATTCATAACTATTATTATTATTATCATTACTAATGTCTTAATTCGCTTGTAAATTTCTTCCTATTACGTGTTAAGTAGTACATTTCTATTTCAATACAAACTATCATCATTTTAATCTCACAAAGTTCAAGAAAGCATAAAACCTATGTATGCATTACTGATAGTGCGATTATCCAAACATTGTCATCCATAGATTATGCATAAATATGTTTATTCTAATCAAAAATCAATGAGATATATGTACCAGTTATTTCTAATTGATTAACACTTAACGTTTATACATATTGTGAAGCTAGTGACTTAATTAGTGATTAAAGCATTGGAGTTCTAGCCAAGTCCGGACAACCCAGCTCTACCTACTTCAGTTTGGAAAGTTAGATTGTATCATTCGTGTTCATACTTAGAGTGTAGCTTTTACCAAATGTACCTGCTAAATAAGCTAATCTCTATATATTTTTTATTTATCAGCGAAGAAAACGGTTAACTGATAATTTTATATACTTTAAAAAGTCTTTATATTCTCTTAAGTCATTTCAGCAATCCAAGTAATCAAAACATGGCAGAAATCTATGAAATCACTGACCAGTAGACTGAGTCATGTTGGTAGATGTAGGCTACCTGGTTAGGGTCCGCGAGACGTAAGTCACCAATGGTTAGAGACGTTGAACGACATGTCTCAAAATCGTTTGCAATAGCGCAAGTGCATCCATTCGTTGTGTCCTCTCAAATTCTAACCTCCTGAATCCTTCGTCATCTCTATTTTTCTCTTTCTAAATTTATTTCACTGAATCATGCTTCTCGAATCATATCTTCGAACTCTAAGCTTCTCCATTACTGCTAATACTTCTACTATCGTTATCAATCTTGGATTTGAAATGATTGTTGCGTGTCTGTGCTAATGTGGTATGGCAACCTGAACTAATGTACGTAGGTACGAAGTTCTACGTTGTATCTGTCTGTCTGTTTGTCAGCAATCCATCTAACTTTATTTCAATGATTTCATAATATATATGATATTTTGTAAAGATTCAAACAACATATTTGAGAATGACTGATCGCTGACAAGTCGTCACATAGAATCAATCTATAAAGTCATTGATTGTTCTTCTTAGTTAGTTCTGTAATAGTAGACTTTTTGTTTGAACGTCGCTCCAAAGTTAAATCATGCATTTTGTCCCATTCTGAACTGGTCACCTGAATTTACCTGCATCTTAAAGTTAATGACCACTCTGGGATTCGAACCCAGTACTACCCTCTTTTATGGCCATTGCGTTGTCCATTTAGCTACTGAGTTTAGATAGGCACTCATTTGTGCAACCGGTATGAGATTGAATTCAAACCATTTCAAATTGAATTATTCCTCATATTTAGTCTTTATTAAATGTGAAATTGATTCTCCTTTTCTGCCCATTTTTCCAATCTCATGTGGTATTCGTCAGGACTTCCCACTTTTCCGACTTTTATTTAACTTCATTTGTTTTAAAGATGATGCTTTCATCGTCTGACTTTTCAATGCGATTCACTTGCTGACCTAAAATTTGCAGCTTATATAGTTTTATTTGGTGAAGACGCTGACAAAATGCAGTTTCCTGACCACCTTAAAGAACAATGCAAGTATTCTGCAATGCAATCCATAATGTGATTCTCTCCCCTTCAGATGCAAAATTTTGCTTCAGGAATGGTCTTTTTCCCTTTTTTCTGTACCCAATTTTTTTTTTATTACTGTAACTGCTCCTAGTGCTCTGGGATTTGTTCTGAAATAATTTTATCTTACTGTGTTGTTGTGCTGTAACAACTTGACCTGAGTTAGGTTCCATAGTACGTACGTATGATTGACCGACTCTTATCTTATCGATTTCTTATTTTACTCTGTTGATATAAGATCATACCAATTGGTAATATAAATAATAGATGAAAATGTACTATTAGCTTTGTTTAGAGCTTTATGAATTAAATGTAAAATTTTATTATCTACCTTTTACTAATTTGACTTTATCAAATGTTTGCATACTTATTGTCTCTTTATAGGTGAAATATTTAGTGCAGCTAGTGATATATGGAGTCTTGGTTTGACATTAATGGAATTAGCTATTGGACAATATCCAATCCCATCAATTGATCCAGTTGATTTTGTACGTGCTTTTGCACCAGATCAAGAAACCAATATACTTGAACATTTTAGAGCTGCAAAAACTGGTGAATTATTACCTAGTAGGTGAAATAAATTTATTCTGTTTTTTTTAATCATGTTAATGGTTTTCTGTTTTTATCTAGTAGTCTATAAAATGTTTGTATATGATAATCTTTTTTCGTAATTTTCTTTTTGTAACGATATCTGGTGGTGGTATGCCTTTCACCCCCACTGGAGCATAGGCAGCCGACCACTGTTCTTCAGTCTACTCTGTCCTGGGCTTGCCTTTCTAGTTATGTCCAATTTTTGCTCATTCTTTTCATATTTTTCGCTATTTCTCGGCGTAATGTGTTCTTTGGCCATCCACTTTTCCTTTTATCTTGTCTTGTGATGCAGTTGGGTGCTTTCTGCAGTGTGTGTCCTATCGACTTCCACCGCTGGAATTTGGCGGTAGCCCCAGATGAGCTTCAGGCGGTGTAGCCATTTTTGAACTATTGTATCTAGCTTGAGTTTCAGAGAGATAACCCTAGATAGTAGTAGTACTTTACTAATGAATGTACTGTATTTTAGTACTGATTAGAAGTGTTCTGTGCAGATGTATGAAACACTTCTCATTTACTACTTTTCTTAAGTGTTATGCTCGTCACTTGATATGCTTGAAACTGTTACGAGTTCACTTAAGTCGATAAACGAAAACGAGACACGTTAGGCTACTCTGATCCGTTGCCCCAAACTAATGGACGAAAAAGTCTTGATATAGCGTATAAAGTGTATTCTACCAACACCCAGCCAGCACACAATAATCTAAAGCACACAAATCGCGTTTATTTATACACCATAGAGACATCCTTGGGAGAGCCACAAAAATGGCACACTAAAATAACACATCAACCATTCACAGCCAAGGATTTTCCTGGTGGGAAATGAAATCTCAAGGTCAACTGATCAGCCTATGAATAAAATCCAAAATTAAGATATTTATCAAGAGAGTCCTGGGGATCTAACGTCCCCAACATTGAGTAAGTATTCACTAACCACTTAAATAATCCACTCCTGTATCTAGACTTGCGGCTCGTACATTCATTATCATATTCAGTACCACTGTATCTATCCACCACAAATACTTTCAATTGATGAGAATGCTCATTTAGACTGGAATTTTTTGGAGTCTATGTAGGAGATAACCAAAATGTATTAGTTCTTAAGCCGGTAACTTGCTACATTGATTGAATCTTCCGATTCAACGCAGCGTAAACAAAACCTTTTGATAAGCTACAAAGTATTTATCACTCTCAGTTCTGACAAGGAATCAGTTAACTTACTAATAAACCTAATCATGTATATTAGTTGTTTAATTTTAATGATTCTTAAAATGTAGCTTCATGTTTTTAGACAGAGCAACATTTTTTACGCATGTCAATTATCAGCTGAAATACAAACCTTTCTCTCGTAAACATTATTTTGTTCATTCACAAAGTTCTTATTTTCTGCTTAGTTTGTTTTTGTTTATTCATGTGTGTGTGCCTGTGTGTCTGTGTGTGTGTATTATGTGTTTGCTAGATGAGTGCACTAATGTTTCACTTGTCTATTTACATATTGAACACACAGCATCAAGTTTAGATTAGTTGTTTTTGCTAACCGAAAAATACCACTTATGTTTATCAAGTGTAATATAATTTCGACAACAAATGTATCTATGTCAAAATGTTTTTTAAAATAGGACTGGTAATCATCTCTTATTTCAATATGATAACAATTGTTGGTAGATAAGAAATAATTGATGGTTCGAGAACACTTATCGTATTGTTGCTTACTTACTGTAAGTAAATAAGTATTGAAACTTCATCAGTTGAGTTGGTTGGGACATGTGTTACGAATGCCCGACCACTGACTGCCTCGGCGAGCTTTGTTTTGTGCTGTGGGAGTAGGTTGGGCGAAAGCTAGGGGCGACCAGACCCAAACATGGTAGAAATCCATGAAGTCACTCACAAGTAGATTGAGTCATGTTGGTAGATGTAGACTACCTGGTTGGAGTCCGCGAGACTATAGTAACCGATAGTTAAAGACCTTGAACGACATGGCTCAAAATCGTTTGCAATAGCGCAAGTGCATCCATTCGTTGTGCTCTCCCAAATCCTAATCTTCTGGATTCGTCAACACCTCTCACGGAATTATACTTCTTGAATAGTATCTTGGATACCTAATCTTCTCTATTACCAGTATTACTCCTACTATCCTTACCACTATGGGATTTAAATTGACAATTGCGTCTCTGTGCTAATGTGGTATGGGAACCTGAACTGATGTAAGTAGGTACGAAGTTCTACGCTGCATCTGACTGACTGTAGAATTTCGCTTTAATTCGACTTGTGAACATTGAACGGAACCACACTTAAAAGAAAATGAAAGCGAATCAAATGAAATGTTGATGTCTGTGAAATATAGTTAAGTTTTTGAACAATTAATCTAAAGTAACTTTTACTTACGAATCATTGAAATATTCCCATTTTGAAATCTAGATTTAATGTAAACTCATCAGACAGTTTGGATAGCGTATTCACAAAACTTTAACCTGATGGGAAATACAGAAAGAAAGTAGCTGTGTTCAAGGAGAAGTTAATATTCATCAATTCTCTGTTTATAGAAACGAAATATGTGATAACATTTGAAATATAGAGGTAACAGCAACCAACCAATCGACTAAAAACACCAAAGGTCAAATGAAAAGAGCTAACATTCTGTTTTTGAGATCTGTTTAACAGGAATAGTAATAATAAAGACTGTCTGAATGAGCAAACCTACTCGCATTGATAATATTGTGTCAAATTGAAACTCGTCAACCTGACAATATCCATCTTTCATAATTAAATGTCACAATGTTGTAGTTTCGTCCAATCGAGTGTATTATCACTTTGTTTGAATAGGTATTTTATTATTTTCGCTAGTGGCGCAAATTTTAATAATATCTCTCATGAAACTTAATCAATGTTTCATTTTCTTAGCTAAATGTTCCGGTTGTGAAGCTTTCTTCTTCTTCTGACCTATATTGGCTGGAACATATGTTCCTGAAGGTTCTACCATGCCAGGCTGGTCGATTGGAGAATGATGATACTAAAAGCAGCAACTCAAGGTCTGGGGGAGAAGTCGTACTGCTGACTGCAGAGGGGTGTGACAGCAGTAATGTGTTTTCCTCGGACACCCAGCATCTGCAGCGATGCTGCGTTCTCACAAGGAAGGAAGGGTTAGAAAAGGTCGACCCTAAAAATGTCACACCTCACCCTACCTCACGGATTTCCGTCTCCTTGGGTAAGGGTGCCCACTAAGGGCCTTTAAGAACGGAGCTAATCCTGAAAAAACGTTTCATAAAAAGGCCGTGCGTGACCGGTCTCAAGCAGTTGTCCCTTGGGCTGTGCGCTCACGCACCCAGGTCTTCAAGACCAACACTAATCTATCTTCTTTTTCAGGTCTCTCAAGAAACAACCTTCCACGGTGTGGGCAGCCGGGAAGTGACAACCGCCCTCATATCCGTAACAGCACACGAGACCAAATTGGTCGAAATCAAATCCTTCCTACACCTACACACACCTCTCTCCTCTCCACATCGAACCCTACTGACTGACTGACTTTCATTATTCTTCTGACAAACATCAATCAGCACAAACATCGCATACTTCACACTTCTACTATCCGAACTACAAAAATTTTTTCCACCATCTATAAAATCAATGCTTGTATAACCTATCTCTTTCATTTCAATTTACAGAAAAATTTAAGCTAGTTTTATTCAAAAGACAATAATAATTATTTTATTGTCTTAAAGATATCACTTTATTAGTTTTCATTGTATAAAATAACGTTTATTGCTTTCTCTCTTACATTTCAGCTTTAACCGATCAAAAAAATCGATCTACCATCATTAGTATGTACAATTTATTTACTTATATTGTAGAACAACCAGCTCCACGTTTGCCAGTTTATTGTTTCTCGTCAGAATTTTTAAATTTCATACATTCATGTTTACAAAAAGATGCTAATGATCGTTTATCAATTGAAATTATTCATAGACATTATATACCAGAACTGATGAAACTTATTTGTCCACATTCAAGAACAACAAGAACACCAACTACTACTACTACTACTACTACTACTACTACTACTAATGACACATTACGATCTAATTGTATTGATAATTGTTTAATTAATTATTTACGTGGTGTATTTTCACGTCAACAAACTGAAGCGGTTGATGCTGTTGCATTAGCTGTTGGTGAAGATTTTGATGCGATTGATGATACAGATTTTGAAGTGACCACCACAATGTTGGATTCAGTTTAAGTTATTTTTGTTCAATGTCCAATCAGACTGAACAAATCTATGTATATATATATATATATTTATATCATGCTTATGATATTGATTGAAACTCGAATAGTTTGAATAATACAAGCTGTATCAAATTGATGTACAGTAATGGATTTACTTCTCTGTGATGCTGTCATCATTCAATATGAATTTTATTGGAACTTTTTAAAACCTAATAGTTGAACTATTTCCCTATGTTAAATTGAATATCTTTATTTTACCTAAGAAATTATTTATTTGTTGTTTCTACTGATGGTTCTTTTTGCCATCTTCATTTATTTCTTCAGATTTTGTATAATTCCTCAAACAAGTGAATATTATTCCTCCTTCCTTTTCATTTTTTTGTGTGTACTACTGATTACAGTTTTAAGTAGTATTGGTAAAACGATAATATTTTCTATTTGTGTATATGTACATTTTCTACAAAAAAGTACAGCAAAAAATTATGTTTATTTACGTAATTCACCTGATATTTACGTTGTTTTGTTCACTTGTTATGCGGTCATTGAAAGCGCAGAGCAAAATGTTAGACAATCTACCTATTCCAAGTTATTTTGTCTTTATGATTTTTCTCTAAATTCTTCAATAACCATAATTAATAATCATGGCTGTTAGTGTGCGTGTGTGTATGTTCATGCAAATTAAAATGAATTTTTAATTGGCTGAATGTTTCAAAATGGCAAGTTAGTTTTTTACGGGATGTGGTGGCCGACCCCAATTCCAACCCTCCTCTTTTATCCCGCCGAACTTGGGACCGGCAGTAGCCCTGAAGGGTCTACAGGCGAAGTATCAGAATGAAACTATTTTTTTGATAATATTCCCGCCCACTGTACTTATTGTCAAATTGTAACCATTTGTACACTTATTTCAACTATATGAATCATGTAAAGTATTTTCAACGAAAAAGGTGATTTCTTTGAACCGTATTGTTTCCAATATTATTTTTCAAATTAATGAAGATATATATTTACATATATATCTGATGTAAATCCCTCTTCTATTCTGTAATCAAAAGCCTTTTTGTTTCTCTATTTGTTAGTTGATTTGTTTATGATGTGGGATTTTTTCCCGACTTGGATTTATATTTTCATAAACATGTTGTTTCTTTTTTGCCCTGTATCATAGTTTTATGAATTTCCTTTCAGGCATATTGTTTGAGAGTATAATTGTGTAATATTTGATTTAAAAAAATACATTGACAGATATGATATTTTTATGTGAGTTTTGTATGTTTTTTTCTTAAGTGCCTAAGAATATTGAAATGCATAGCTCTCGATTGAGGTGATGCTTGTGTAGCTTTCTTGATGTTGTAGGTTTGATTCGGCTATATGTGTGTATTTTCAACGTATTTCCTAAGAGCAGGTGGTCTGAGCACACACTACTGAATCATCTGTTACATAACCTCTATAAGAATAAGGACTAACGTATTTTGATGTATAAATACGTCTGACTACTCCGAGAGTACTGTGACATGACATGACAGATACAACGCAGAACTTCGTACGTACGTACATCAGTTCAGGTTGCCATGCCCCATCAGCACAGAGTGATAGCAATACTAGAAGTATTAGCAGTAACAGAGAAGATTGGGGAGCGAAGATATAATTCGAGAAGTATAATTCAGTAAGATAAATTTAGAAGGAGAAAGGTAGAGATTATGAGGAGTTCAGAAGGTTAGAGTTAGAGAGAACACAAAGAGTGGATGCACCTGCGACATTGCAAACGATTCTGAGCCATGTCATTCAAGGTCTCTAACAATCGGTGACTATCGTCTCGCGGACCCCAACCAGGTAGCCTACATCTACCAACCTGACTCAGTCCACTTGTCACTGACTTCATGGATTTCTGCCATGTTTTAGTTTGGCTGCCCTTAGCTTTCTTCCAACCTACTCCTACACCAGAAAACATAGCTAATCGCGGCAGTCGGTGGTTAGCCATATGTAACACATGTCCCATCCACCTCAACTGATGAAGTTTCGCTATTTCATCTACTGATTTGCCATCCCTACCTAGCACTCGTTTCCTAACGACAGCATTGCTTACTCAGTTGTCCCATGATACAGGAACAATACTTCGGATACACCTATGATCGAAGACTAGTAACCTACGAAAGTCCTCTACTCTTAACGGCGAAGTCTCGCATCCATACAGTAGGACGGAGCGAACTGCTGCACAGTACACTCGACCTTTGGTTAGCAAACGGATATCTCGCCTTCGCCATAGGTGACGCAGGTTGGCAAAAGCCAACCGAGCTTTCTGTAAGCGTGATGAGATTTCGTCAGTCACCGGGCCATCAGCACTGATGAGACTCCCCAGGTATGTGAAGTGGTCTACACGTTCGACTACTTCACTCCCTAGAGAGTACTGCACTTTTATTCTAAGTAGTTTTGTCCTGAAGAATAAACTTGGGTTACCATCTGTCTTATGTTGATTTACGTTTCATATTCTTGGGAATGGTTATACTTCAAATGCGTTAAGTTAGGACTTTATCTTTTATAGGAACAGAAGCTTAAACTCGATATAATCTATTAAAAAAAAAAGTTATCTTTCACATCCATATATACAACCTAGAAACATGTAGATATAACATTCGTAACTGTATGTGAAAAGTGAAATTGTTTCATTTTAAATATTTTTCCCACCTGGATAACTTTTCAAATAGAAAAAAAAAGACTCTAGATTTGTTGGTTGCAATTTATTCGTAAAACGAACATCGTATGTTTGCTATATTGACGATCAGCTCTCTTTCGAAAAGGCCATAAAAATACTTACATCAGTTGTTCTATTCTATGTCTTCTCTCAAACCCTAAACTTTTTAATTCTTCATCACTTTATCTTTATCTTTTTAAAGTCTGTTTCACTAGATTTTGCTTCTTGACTAATATCTTCTAATCCTAACCTCTCCGACTACTGCTAGTCAGTTCGTCAGTCAGTCAGATGCAACGTAGAACTTTGTACGTAAGTACATCAGTTCATGCTGCCATACCACATCAGCACAGAGATATAATTGTCAATTCAAATCCAATAGTAGAAGAGGTAGTAAAGGTATTAGAAGTAATCGGAGAGGTTAGGATTAGAAGATATTCAAGAAATATGATTTAGTGAAAAAAGTTTAGAAAGTCAAAACTAGATGGGTTGAACAATCCAGAAGATTAGGATTTGAGAGAACACAAAGAATAGATGCACCGGCGCCATTGCAAACGGTTTTGAGCCATGTCATTCAGGGTATCTAACCATTGATTATTGCCTTCTCGCGGACCCCAACCAGGTAGTCGACATTTACCGACATGGCTCAGTCCACTCGTCAATGACTTCATAGATTTCTGCCATGTTTTGGTTTGGCCGCCCCTAACTTTCTTCCAACCTATTCCTGCACTACAAAACAAAGCTCGTCGAGGCAGTCGGTGGTTAGGCATACGTTACACATGTCCCAACCACTTCAACTGATGAAGTTTCATTACTTCATCTATTGATCTGCCATTTTTACCTAGCACCCGACTCCTAATAACAGCGTTGCTCACTCGGGTGTCCCACGATATATGAGCAATGCTTCGAAGACACCTATGATCGAAAACCAATAACCGACGAATATCTTCCACTCTCACTGGCCATGCTTCACAGCCATATAGTAGGACGGAGCGGACTACTGCACAGTACATTCGTCCTTTAGTCAGCAAATGGATATCTCGTCGACTACTGCTAGTACCTCCACTACCTCTACTATTATTGGATTTGAATTGACAATTACATCTCTATGCTAACATAGTATGGCAACATGAACTAATGTTCTTACGTACGAAGTTCTACGTTGCTATTGATTGATTGACTATTCTATGTCACCACTGATCAGTATTAATATTGACAATACTTATTAAACATCTTTTCCTGCAGCTAGTTTGCGATTTTAGTTGTTTTGTTCTGTATTCTATTGTCTTTTAACTAGTTGTAAATGATTATCATTACTCTAGAAGTGCCTTGCAAATACCCCGACCGAAGCTGCTACCTTGACGTGGTGGTCGGGCTTGCCTATCGTGATGACTCAACCGAGCTATACTGGCTGGAACATATGTTCCTGCAGGTCCTATCATGCCAGGCTGGTCGATTGGAGAACGATGAGACTTAAAGCAGCTACTGAAGGTCTGAGGGCGAAGTCGTACTGCTGACTGCAGAGGGGTGTGACAGCAGTAAGGTGTTTCCCTCGGACAACCAGCATCTGCAGCGATGCTTCCTTCTCACAAGGAAGGAAGTGTTAGAAAGTGTCGGCCCTAAAAATGTCACACCTCCCCTACCTCACGGATTTCTGTCTCCCTGGGTAACGGTGCCCACTTAGGGCCTTGAAGAACGGAGCTAATCCTCTAAATACCTTTCATAAAAAGGCCGTGCGTGACCGGCCTGAAGCAGTTGTCCCTTGGGCTCTGCGGTCACGCACCAATACTAATCTATCTTCCTTTTCAGGTCCCTCAAGAAACAACCTTCCACAGTTTGGGCAGCCGGGAAGTGACAACCACCCTCATACCCGTAACAGCACGCCTTGCAAATACACCTTTCATAACTTCCGCAGGATGTCTTATAGTCAGTCCTCATAATATGAATTACTGTTTTTCACATCATTATAATCCTTGTGATAAATTCTATCTCTCTGAAGTTAATTCACTTCTCAAACGATTGGTTCTTACTTCTCTGTTTATTACATGTTACATTGATTTCTGTAACGATTTAATCAGACGTATCCTCTCTCTCTGTCTGCATATTATGGCAAGTTGTATGAGTAATATAATTAAACATTTTCCAGTTTAATCTTTTATCTAATGATGAAATCGATTTTTAATTTAAAATGTTATAAATTCAAACATTGATTAGTCTTCATTTTAAATCGAATAGGAATTCTTTTCCTTTTTTTTTCAAAGAAATTCACACTAAAATTAAACTTTGAACAATTGAACATGCATATGAGTTTTAATCAATTGTCATTTCACTGGTTCACCGTATTATTTAA